GTTAATGAAATTTTTCATCAAATTTTCAATGTTGAATCTTGCAATGTGTGACATGGAAGATTAGGACATATAAGTCTAAAGAAAATCAAAAGGATGATGGATCTCAATTTATTCCTAAATCTCATGTAGATTTCAAACATAAGTGTGAAATTTATGTATAAGCCAAACAAACTAGAAAACCTCATAAAAGCGTAGAAAGAAAAACACAACTTCTAGAACTTATACATAGTGATATATGTGATTCTGGTAGACCACCAACAAGAGCCGAAAATAAATATTTTGTGACTTTCATAGATAATTGTTCTAAATATTGTTATATTTATCTTATCAAGAACAAAGATGAAGTATTTAATAAGTTTAAGATATATAAATATGATGTTGAAAATCAATTAGAGAGAAAAGTGAAAAGATTAAGGTCCGATAGAGGTGGTGAATATACTCTAACCGACCTTAGTACATTTTGTGAAGAACATGAAATAATACATGAAGTGACTCCTCCTTATTTTCCTCAATCAAATGGGGTAGCTGAAAGAAAGAATAGAACTTTAATGGATATGGTAAATTCAATGTTGACTAGTTCCGATTTATCTGATAATTTGTGGGGGGAAGCTATACTTAGTGCTTGTTTCATATTGAATAGAGTATATGTTAAAGATAATGAGAAAATTCCATATGAGATATGGAAGGGAAGAGTTCCTAACCTTAGTATCATGAAAATGTGGGGGTGCTTAGCTAAGGTAGCTATTCCTAAACCAAAGAGAAAGAAAATAGGTCCTAAGACCGTAGACACCGTCTTTATAGGATATGCCCAAAATAGTAGTGCTAATAGATTCTTAGTTATTAACTCAGAAATTAGTAGAATTTTAAAAAATACTATAATTGAATCTAGAGATGCTATATTTTTTGAAGATATTTTTCCTTTTAAAAATACAATGCCTAGTCAAGTAAGAGAAACACCTTCAACTAGTGATCAACCTTCTACTAGTTCTATTGCTCCAATAGAGAAAAATATAGAACAACATGTAGAGGTAAGGAGAAGTAAAAGACCAAGAATAGAAAAGGACTTAGGAGAAGGATTTTTTACTTTTCTAGTAGAAGGAGAGCCAATGACATATAAAGAAGCTATGTCTTCTATAGATGCACCTTTTTGGAAGGAGGCTATTAATAGTGAAATTGAATCTATATTACTTAATAATACTTAAGAGATAGTAGAATTGCCTCCTGGAAGCAAATCTATTGGGTATAAGTGGGTATTTAAGAAGAAACTAAAACCTGATGGGAGTATAGATAAATATAAAGCTAGATTGATGGCTAAATGATTTACTCAAAAGAAAGGGATAAATTATTTTGATATATACTCGTCTGTGACTAGTATTACTACCATTAGAATACTAGTAGCCCTAGCATCTATCCATAACTTAGTAATACATTAAATGAATGTTAAAACCACTTTTCTAAATGGGAATTTAGATGAAGAGATATAAGTTAGTAAAGTTTTTATGTGACCTTAAACAAGCTCTTAAACAGTGGCATGAGAAGTTTGATAAAGTAATTCTAGAGTATGGTTTTCAAATTAATGAAAGTGATAAATGTTTATACTACAAGGATATTGATGTTGGTTGTGTGCTTTTATGTCTCTATGTAGATGATATACTAATTTTTAGGACAAACTTTGAGGTCGTTAATGATGTTAAATCTTATTTATCTAGTAAGTTTGATATGAAAGATTTGGGAGAAGCCTATGTAGTCTTGAGAATGAAAATAGAGAAAACATCAAATAGAATATCTCTAAGTCAGTCTAGCACCATAGAGAAAATGTTGAAAAATTTTGATTTCTATGATAGTAAGTCTGTATCAACACTATATGATCCTCATGTACATTTGAAGAAAAGTAAAGGAGAACCGATTTTATAATTGAAGTACTTACAAATGATTGGATCTTTATTATACATAACAAATAAGTCTAGACCTGATATCTCGTATGCCGTAGGGAGACTAAGTAGATATACACATAGTCCAAGTAAAAAGGATTGGGTTGCCTTAGAAAGAGTCTTTAGGTATCTTAAAGGAACCTTAGACTATTCTTTATGTTATAGTGGATTTCCTAGTGTAGTTGAGGGCTTTAGTGATGCAAATTGGATCACCGATAATTTAGATATAAAATCCACTACTGGCTATGTTTTTCTGTTAAGAGGAACAACCATATCTTGGGGATCTAAAAAACAAACCCTAATATCAAGAAGTAATATGGAGTCGGAACTTATAGCCTTAGATACCACATGTGCTGAGACTGAGTGGATAAAAAATTTATTATTAGAGATACCTCTAGTAGAAAAATCTATACCTGCCATTTCATTACACTGTGATAGTAAGGCAGTGATTGAGCTTGTGAAGCAAAATCATAACAATAAAAAAATGAATAGACATATACAAGTGAGATATAAATCAATAAAGAAAATGCTGAGTAAAAACATAATCTCACTAGACTTTGTAAAGTCTGAGCTTAAGATAGTTGATCAGCTAACTAAAGGGCTTTCGAGGAAAGCTGTCTCAGAACTGTCGAAGGGGATGGGCTTAAGCCCACAGGGGAGTCACCTAGGGAGGTAACTCAACTTCTGTGATTGGGGACCCCATGAAGGCAGTTCAATGGGTAGAAACAATCCATACTGCGTGATTCATTAGCACTATTATTTAGGAAATATCTAAGGGGAGATATTTTCCTGCTCATCCCTATGACAGAAGTGCATATATAGTGTGACGGTAAAGAAGGGTTTTACCCTGAATGAGACCAAGGCAGGAACACTCCTGTAGGGTATTGTGCACATGTACCCTTGGAGGGCTCACCTAAGTGAGAGTAGTCGTGAGGTCGCGACTATGAGAATTGAGCTATTCTCTAGAAACTCTCATGAGAATCAAGATCAAGTGCAAGACCTTTAATAGCACTGACCCGCGAATCTTGACCAATATCGGTACTGTGTGTGTGACATGTTGAACTCTGGTCCAAAGGATCTAGTTCAAGCCTTTGGTCACTATGATCCTTCAGAGGAAAACTGTTAACACTAAGTGAGATTCAAGTCCGGAAGATACCTACACCTATTGCACAGTATAATAGTTGCCCATATTTTCTATATATAAAATATTTGAAATATTTTGAAGTTTCAAAAACTTGTGGGGGATTGTAAGAATAAAATTAAGTTTTTAAAACTTTTAAATTTCTATTTTAATTATGATTAAATTATAAATTTTAGTTACAAGTTTTTTGATCATATTTAGTGTGTATATTAAAGAATAATTTTTATTGACCTTAAATTTGGTTTTATAGCTATTCATGCCAAATAATCAAATTCATTGAAAATATATCATTGTAGGTTACAAATCATTGAAAAGTCAGCATGTGCCAAGTCATTGAAAGCCATTGAAAACTATAGAAAATATATCATGTGCCAAACTGCTAAAAGGAAAAAAAATTGAATAGTTCGTGTGTATGTTATACATATAATTCACTATATAAAAGGCTACTGAGATAGCTTCTGTGAAGATAATGAAAATCCACTCCACAATCTTTCAATAGCTTTTCTTTTGATACTTGACATACTTTTCAATTTTCCTCCATTATTTTATTTTTGGGGTAATTCGATTCGAGTCAGATTCACTTCAACCTTCCAGTGGGCGTAACCTTTGAAAAAGTGTTGTTGCGAGCGTCTAGGTTAGATCTTGGAGTCACTGGTGTCCGTCAGTACCCTCACGTGGGGATGCTCAACTGCTTTAGGACAGTGATCACACGCCTTTCGGACTCGTAGACCAACTCATTCCAAATCTATTTATTTGGTTTATATAGATTGCATGTTTATATATTTCATGTATTTATTTAAATTGTATGTTATATGATTTAAATATTGTTTGTATGTTTTATTTCGAATTTTAGATTACAACACTTATAATTATATTGCTTACATCATAATTATAATAATTGTTGATTTGACCAAAAGTTTAATAACAATTTTTATTAATTTCAATTATAAATATATGCTTAAAATCTATAATTATTTTTCCAATAACTTCCACCGCAGGAATTTGTATAAGATGTGTACTCGGAGGAAAGACAGAATCAATGACAATGTTGTTGAAATCAAGGAAAGCTTTCTTTCTTTTAGGAAGTGACTCCCAACCCCCAACAATCTCCATCAAATGGATTTTGATTTCATACGGAGTTTTTGATACGAAAGTCCCTTTATGTTTTGGAGTGGTCATATCATATGAAAAAGAAGGCGTTGTGATGAAATCTCTCTCTCTCTCTCATGCACATACAGAGCAGTGTGAATTGTGAAGGTTCTTTAACGTGCCCAATCTACACTACTTTTTTAAAGGATGATCTAATTAATTCTTTAAGGGAAGGGAAGGGAAGGAAGAAGCAAAACGATTGATAGTTGACCCAGGTCAAGTTTGGACGTGGATGACTTCTTAATAACTCGGATAAATTCACTTGTTACGGACAAAAGCACCAAGCATTGCAGCAAAACAAATCAATAACAACCCACCGAGGCAAGTGTTGATAGTTGAAGGAGAAGAACACACTTGAAGAAAAAACTGATTGCTAGAAAAATACAGACCTACAAAAGAAATATACACTGGTAATTTGAATCTACCTATACAGTTGATTTACCAAAAGTGAATTTCGTTTAATATTAAAACTCACAATTAATTTAATAGCCAAAATACATGGGTCCTTACATTAGATCTTCAAATTACTCTCTCTCTCTCTCTCTCACACACACACACCCACCCACCCACCCCTCTTGACAGTCTTACATGTATATTGTTGGTTAGAGCAATCTCAGAAGACAAAGCAGTCGTTGGACTAGCAACCTCTAAAATTAACCCGAACAGCTTTATGGCCACCGAGTGTTTAAGGTTTCCAATTATCCTTTCTTCTCTTGAGCAGCCACAATCACCATTGACATAAATGGAGGTCTACTTTACAGTTTGCCTTTCACACACCGTTAGGGGCTTTCGGTCTTGTCTCCTACTTCATAACGATTTTTAGTAGCACTCAACCCTGATGAATGTAGCTGCTTTCGCCTCTTCACTAGATGTAATGCAGTTTGCCTGTCATCCTGTGCCTCCACAGACTCAGGCTGCATGCAGCAATTAAAACTTGTTACACTAGTTCAAAAATTGCTAAATCAACGGTGTAGGAAGATTCTTGGATGATCAAATTCCTAACTAGTAAGCACCTTTCTAGGTGTACATTATATGCATCTTTGGGCACAGAACTGGGAGCTGATGGTTATTGGTCATACTAGATACCCAAGCAAACAAGACTAGTGTGACCATAGATCATATTATGTCGACCAGCTGATGCTAAAAAAGCTAGAATAGTAAACAAAAGGTATGCTCATCTGATCAGGTTCATATTTTGGCCAGAAAATCTTCTTTGGGCTCTAGTAGTAATGGCATATAATTAACCGTCCCATAAATGTGTATATGACCCCAAAACAGTTCTTGCTTAGAAAACAATGTTGCGGATATGCTTGAAGCAGTACCTTAATAGCTAACGCTCTGTCAAAGCTTTCCATGGCCCTATCGGGCTCCCCAAAGTTCAACTGTGCTCTACCAAGGGTGATCCAGGCCTGAAAAAGACCCATTCTATCAGCAATAGAAAATGTCCTCAGAAAAAAAAAATAAAAAAAATGATGAACTAGCTTCCTAAAAGTTCACAAAGATTGCCAAGAAATCATAAATGAATGAAGTAGTTCAGTAAAATATGAGATAAAATATTGACTGAAAGGGGGAGAAGGGGGATTACTATGGAGTGTTTGGTAAAAGCTTCATCCCCTTCTACCCTTATTTCTAAGGTGGATTAGGGATTTCCATCTAAAGATTTTGATTTGATCTTATGTGGTTTGCCTCTGATTTTTAAAACTATTTCTGTTTCTCAATAGGAAGATTGGGCTTTCTGCGAGCACCAGATGTTGACCTAATGGCAGATTTGATTATCCAAATCCGTCCCTCTTAGGAAAATTCATTTCCCATGAAGCAGCAGAGGACAATCTTCAATCCTGCTCCTCCGTCTTGCTTTCCTATAATTCTTATTAGGGAACAAGAACAATAAGCGGTGCAAAACAATTACCAGACAAAAGTATTTTCCACCATGAACTGGAAGAGGTACCAATCAACATTCTGAGCCATATGCAAATGTATGCCCAAATTATGTTTAAGAGCAACATCACAAAGTACTGAAAGAAAAGAAAGGGACTCAAAAACAGGAAACCAGTGCAATATACTTAGCAGTTAACATGTGGAAGTATGGAAATTGAATGTAGAGGCAGAAGAGATCCATAGAATAAAGTATTAACAAACCTCAGCCCATGATGGCTCCAATTCAGCAGCTCCTGCCAAGTAAGTACAAAATATGAATAGAATGATCTTAACAACAGTACACAACAAACAAGCAAAATGCCCATTATACAATACAAAGCCAATATTTTCTATTATTATGCAAAGTTAGCAGAATATTTTAAAGGAACAGAAAACACATAGAAAGGGCATTAGGTACTCATTGTCATGGTACAACAGAATTTTATAGGAACAAACAACTAAGACCTGGTTAAATGAGTGAAGCAATGCATCAGCAATATTTACAATATTCAGCATGTCAGAGAAGTTTTTAGTAGAAAGGATCAGAAACACACGAGTTGCAGCCTTCAAAGCATTCCATGCCTCTCCAATTTCAAGTAAAAGTTGAGCCTTTTGTTCATGTAAAACTGCTCTGTCTGGCGTCAAAGTAAGAGCAGCTTCCCACTTCCCAAGTGCTTCACGATATTTCCCATCCTTTAAAAAAGAAAAGTGCTATAAGGAAAATAGACAAAAATCATGGAGATTTAAACTTACAGATACGGAAAAAGAAATTAAGATTCAAAATATATAACAGATTAAAAAGGTATAAAATGATGCACAAATGATTGCTTTAGCAAATCCAAAAGTTTCTATGACGTTTAAGATTTTGCTTATTTCCATTTTCAAGGCCCTTCTCCCAGAAAACATGATTTTCAGACACCTTAACCTAAATCTACTGATGGCAGTAGAACATAGAAATAGAGAAAAGTAATAAGGTTGCACATAGGTATTCCTACAAAATGAGAAATGAGATTCTTAAGCAAACTACAATAATATTTTCTTTATTAACAACCAAGCAATTATTTTTAGCAGAATAATGTTGCTGCAAACCATGTTAGTGCCCAGGCATGTTACAAGTGAACTAACAGTTATCAACACGTCCAAACTCAATGACTACAAACTTCCCAATATAGCGACTGTAACTGAAATACTGATCTATAAGACTATAACTTTACAAAACTAGAATGCATGTTTCCATTTGGTGTAAAGAATCCTTGAACAACCAATGGCGCCATAATCACGTAGCAAAAAAGAAACTACTGGGTTGGTGGAACTTGGGTTCACTTCTTATTGTTCCCAAGGAAACAAAAAATGGGTCCACCCAACTTACCTCCCTAATAAAAACACCAAAATGCAGTTCACAACCTCAATTATTCCGACCATTTTAGGCAAGCAACAGAATCCCATTTTGCATTTAATTGCATTGACGGTAACATATCCACTTTTAAATTTGTCTATGTATCTGATTTCCACAAGAATAAGGTCTAATTGTGCTGAGTCGCATACCATCAATGTTATATAACTTGAAGGAAAGCAACATAGTGCTTGGAACAAGTTAGATCGAGTTGTGGACAATTCTGGTGTTTTTACGACGGAGTGGCATTTTCAAATTATCAAATGATTCTAATGGCAAAGACAATTCTCCTGACATCGGGAGTCTACTTAGGCTAATATGTGTTAACATACTAAAGAGGGGCATGTCACAAAGAATTGGAACAACTAACTACTAGAAATTTCTGTTGAGTCTAAGTTACTCATCTACCACTTGGTACTTTGGATGAATTGTGATGCAGCAACACAGCCACCAGTTCATCATGTTCAAATCTTTGTACACATACTAGACTGAGTGAAGGTGAAGCCAGTGAAGTTGGACAACCCTTCTGGGATGTTGTTTTTCAGGTCAAATGAAAGAAAATTTGAATTTCCAAATTCTCAACTCAGGACCAGTTTTGGACAACCCAACTTTTATGTATTTAACATGAATCTCGACTGTATTTCAAATCGTTTGTTGTCACAAAAATTCCAACCAACCTTCTCTGAATTCAACCCAGATTTGTTTTAAACTCACTTTTGTATAAATCCTACTCAATTGCCCAATGCAAGTTGAGATTCTTTTAGTCATAGGCTCATTTATCTTCAGTTTGTGTTTCAATATTCAGCATTGTAACCATTACTCCATGCATTACCATTACCAAATTAAGAAAAACACGTAAACATATTCCCCATGCATAAATGCCAACTTCATATCCAGAAAAGATTAGGTAAAGTTATTAAAGAACAACTAGAATAAACAACAAACCTCATCTCCATAACACTACATAATCAACAGTCAAATACTCTCAGCAAACAATTCTAAGGGAAAAAAATAAGGGGTTTTAAGTATACCCACTAAGGAATGTGCTAATACACCAAATAAAACCCAATCAACAAATAACAAATATATGAATAGCATCAAACTGAAAAGCTCTTTTCTTAAACTTTTGGAGCATATGAAAAAAAAACCCATGTGGCAAAAAAAAAAAAAGACTCGAAATTACCTCAGCGAGCTTGTTTCCTTGCCCTTGAAAGTCCTCAGCGAGCTGGGTAGTCTCATCTTTTTCAGAAGCCAAGGTTTTTCGCTGTACGTCGCCGTTTTGAGTGAATTGCTCTGGCGGCTCCGCCCCATCATCAATTTTGTGTCGTTCTACGTTGTTTTCATTTGTGTTGGTGTCGTGGGTTTCTTCATCTCGATCGAAAGGGAGGTTTGAGTACTGAGATATAGGTCGCTTCTTGTTCTGGTTCGTGCTTTGATTCTTCCACGTTAATTTCATCTTCTCTGGTGTTTGTTCTTCTTCAAGCTCGCTGTTCGGATCTTCTGGAGTTGGGGGTATTTAATTTACCCAACTCCGTGCCACTGGATCAAGATATAAGCACTTAAAACGGCACCGTCACCCACATCAAATTCAGAGTCTATTTATAATTTAGACCTTTTAATTAGGAAAATCGGTAAACGTCCTAAAAATTATAATTTTTTAAAATAATTTTATAATTTTTTGAAGTGAGATTAAAACATGCAAAGGGCATGTTTGATCTTAAAGTGTTGTTCTCGATCATGACAGTTTTAATTTTTAAAAATTAAGCTATACAACTTATAAAGAAAAAATTATAATTGCTAAAATTGATAATTTTTGATATAATATCGAATTTTTTTTCTGTAGAATTACCCCCTTTAAGTATACTCATCTTCATCAGTGGTGAAGCATGCATGATACATTCCTATCTATGTATATAAATCAAACAAATCAGAAAGGAGAAGACTTCACATTTCTTCATTTTTTAGAATTTAAATTTTTTTTAATTCAAAACCTCAGACTCTCTCTAATTAAACATTATCCTGTGTCAATTTGTAACAACCTCTCAACTCCCTCAATAATCAACCTCTATTTGTAAAAATTTATTCAAAAAAATTTATTTTTTATTACCTATTTTTTTTTATATAATGGTTTTATCTAACTTCTCAAATGATAAAATAAAAGGAAAAAAAGTAAATTAAATATTACAAAAAGAGACACGAATTATAATCCTGTGTATCGCATGTGGACAAACCATTAGTACTCTTATATGTGAATAAGGTCTGTAATAGAGTATCTTTTTCTGTCTAAGCTATATTAATACTAGAGATAACCCGTGTCTGAAGACACGGTACGGTGCAAGTAAAAAAAAATTAACATTGATTTTGAAAGCGAAATAATCAAGCACTGAATTCAGACACGTACTAAACTGAAAACCTAAATTGCTCTATATCATGTGTTTAAAGGCACCGTACATAATTTTTAAACACGAAATAATCAAACAATGAATATAAACATACATTAGATTGAAAATCGTTTGGTCATTTTTAATATCATAACTTTAGTGAAATAAAAAGAGTCAAAAGTTGTCATCAACAAATATTTTGACAACCTAAAATCAAAAATAAAAAAATTACATTAAATCAGGAATACTCCAAGAATATAAAGAAGTCAATAACCTAGTACATCATGAACTCAAAAATTGTACACAAACACATTAAATTTTTTTAAGACCAATCTAACATGTGATTGGCAGTATTGTCCGTGAAACCTTCGTCCAGCAATTTGACAAAAAACATCATTGGATCCCCAGAAAATTTATTTAGAAGTGGTAATGATTTTTATCATAGAAGCTCTGAACAATAACCACATCAGTTCACAAATTTCATAAAAACAAAAATCAAACTCACACAAATTAAACCTTGACTTCGGCTATGGCAATGATGGGTGGGCGAAGTCATCGACAAACCCAAATAAGATGATCACATCAATGACATCATAGGATATTAGAATGTGTCTTCATTTTACTGAAGCAATACTACAAAAATGTTTGCCATCATATAAAAAAACACACAAAATCTACTCAAATTTTTTATATTTAAACCATTACAATTATTTCACACCAAGTCATCCCGAGTAATTACAATGCAATCAATCAACCACAAGTAACATTACAACTTAAAAGCATACATGCAGTCACAGAAGCACAAAGAATGGCAAAGTAAAAGCATTTACATATACTATCAGTAATACCAACATGACACCATGGCCTACGTCAAACCCATAAAATTCATCAAACTAATAGCAAGTAGAGGGTGCAAAAAAGATGAGAGTCACCCCTTTGTTGGCAGCGATGCATCCGCAACTCTTTGAAAAATTTCATCGAACATGTGATAGGTGTGTACGAATTTAGTCCAATGTAATATAAACACAGTCCAATGCCTAGACAAAGAAGGGAAAAAAAACCACCAAACCAATGAACTCAACTCCCACTATCAGACTACCAAAATCATATTTTATGAAACCACTCAAAAAGAGGTTTAGACTCTAATCAGGAGGAGTAATTGAGATGAGTCCAAAATTGCACTGAAGACAGCTAATAAAGCAACATATTTGACAGCCACTTCTAAACAAAATCAACGTTGATTATGTTGATAAAGATGAGAATCAGATTGGTAACATAAAAAAAAAAATGGAAAACTCTGCTTATTTCACCATCAAGCAACAAACAACATCTACATTAAAAATGTCTGCCAAAAAAAAAAGTAAGTTAGAGATTCAAAACAGAGCAATTTTTTTTTTGGGATAGAAATTAAAATTAAAATTTGGGATAGAAATTAAAACTTCAAAAGTAAATCCGAGAAAAAAAAGTTTGGGATAGAAATTAAAATTAATGCTAAAGTTCGGAGTATTTGTGATGTTTCAGCAGGTGATGAGACGTCTTGATCTCAAGAGCACTTACAGAACAGTAAATCCTCTCCACTTTGTTACCTGGATGCTGAATCATCACTGTCGCTGCCTCCGCCGCTTGAGATATGATCAAATCAAACTACCCTGCTTCAATATCGTTCAGTTCAGTTTCTGAAATTAAACTTCAAACTCAAACTGAGGGAATTAATGGATGGGAAGGTGTTTGCGTAGAGGGGGAAGGGTGGGGAGGGGGAGTACCTGGCTATAGCAGTGGCTCTGGTTGTGGCTTTGATGGTGGTAACACTGACATAGAGAGAGAAAGAAGTGAAGAGGAAATGAAGAAGGTAAAAAAAAAACTGAAGGCATGGATGTAGCCGCCTGTTGTCTGACAATGGGTGTAGGGGTGTCAGACGCTTCAATTTAACTATGAACACCAGCTGCAATGTGTGTACTGGTCCACAGAGAATGGAATTCACATTGTGAAACCAACTGCATTACAATTTACATACCTTTCTACCAGCAAAAGATGGGATAAATCATCCCACACATGTAGTATAAATTGAAGCCATTTTTCTCTTCTTCTGGTAAATCAATTTGAAGCTTTAATCAGTCTAAAAACTCCATATGATGTCAATTCAACACATCTGCATCAAACTATTTTACAGACTTTGTACAAATTCTCTACCTTCTCCAGTACATGCTACAGAAATACCAGAACAATATCGATCACATAGCCACAAAGCTGTTTCCCATTAATTGTACAATAAATGTTCACTTCATCAACCCCCTGAGAAGATGGATTTTTTTTATACCTGCACGTAATTAGAAGCAACAAACCACATCTCTCCCCCTCATCCAAAGCAAGAAGATAATCACAATGCTTTCAGGTTCACAATTACCGGTCACTTCAATTAATAAAAAATGAAAAAACAAATCATAGGTAAGCAAAGCAAATTAGTTTGAAATGAGATTTTTAAAAACATTCAGTCACCTTAAAAAAAAATAAGATTATGAATAATCGAAACTAATAATACCAAGCACTCCACCCAATTACCAACACAACTAAAAAATTAGAAATTGAACTCGATATGGTTTCAATGCAATTATTCAAGAAGTTCAATCTAAAGAAGACTCAAAGAACCAAGAAACAAAAAAAATGAATTCAATATCATAATTGGTTGAATCAACCAACAAAGACAGCTCTGGAAGTGAATATCTTGAATACACAAACGGCTCGAGAGAGGTTGTAACCAACAGAAAATAAAATCATAAAATTTAAAAAATTAATACCCACAAAAAGTAGAGATAAAACTCCCCATAGGAAACCATCAAACATTACAACGAACTCCATCAATGGCTTCGACAAATATTGATGAACAATTTACTCGGCTTCATCGCAACACCAAGAACGTTGATGAATAGCGCATCTGACAAAGCAAAGCAAAACCAATTTACTCACATAGACAAAGCAAAACCAAGAAACCAAAGATAATCCAATCCAAAACCCAAATAAATTAGACAGTTTGGAACTTTGCCTAACACAAAGTTCCAAAAGAGACCCATTGCTCCAAATCACAACTGATCGCAACATACCATCGCTCTACACAATGCCCAGATTTAAAAACAACAAACACTTGTGCATCATATATACAATAAAAAAAAAAGCTACCACAGACTTGAATATGATCCTAAAATGTTAAAAAAAAAAAAAGTTGGAAGGAAACTAATGGAATGGTAGCCGAAGAGAAAACTTTAGATGTAATCCAAAACAACTCATAAACTCACCATTGGGAAAACATAGTCGAAAGGCAACTACGTGCAAGTAAAATGTCTGCTTATCCAATCACGAACACTTGAAATCTGCCACAATAAAGAAACAAAATAAGTAGAGCATATGAAATTTGCCACAACAAAGAAACAAAATAGCAAATCCACAAAACAAAATTTAGAAATTTGTAACAAAATCAAATCAATAATTTGAAATAAAATAAAAAAAATTGGAAAAGAGAGAAAACCTGATTTCAAGCTGATTCATGCAAGTTCCAGAAAACGTAAATATCGATTACATCCAAGCCTCCATCTTTTGATTTCCGAATAAGGCCAGACAACATTTGCGCCTAAAGGTCCAACCACATTTGTGGTTATTGCAAATAGGTAGACAAACAATATGACAAATAAATCATTAAAAAGGTATGAAATGAATCTTTAAGAATTTATCTTTTGAATTCCCAAGAAAAATTGACATATTTATCTAGCTACACCCATTATTCAAACATAGATACACATATTTTTTAACCTACACAGTGAACATATTGACAATAAATTAAGCAAAGAAAGATGAAGCATAGGATGCAAATTTTCAATAATAATACAATACACCACTCATTATTGACAAATGAACCAACTTGTTTGGACCCAACTCTTTCAATTTCATTTCCAAACCATTCAACATCGCAAACCTCCAAAACTCCTAAAAGTAAACACACCCCAAAACATCAAGAACCAGCAACACAACCCTTATCAATTTTAATTTAATTTAATTTTCCCAAATAAATTAAAATTGAATTAAATTTTGGAGTGAAAATAGATTCAAAATTGGTTCTATCTTATTATTATAGATTTAGTTATGGTAAAATTTAGGCAAAAAACAAAAAAATTTATACCAAAATAATAAATTGGTTAGAAACAGATTGATAACACGCCACACCAGTGGTTGGAGTTAATGTAGAAAAAGCAACCAAACAAAAAAAGAAGAAGAAGATACAAATACAATCTCATCATAAGTTGCTAACCTGCTATTAAAATTCCCAAAATCATTTGATTCCATACAATTTTAGCTAAATTTTCTTGAGAAATATACAAATAAACAAAAAACTAAAACTAACATTTTGTATGCAAAATTCGGCTAAGCCAATGAGATTAAAAAGCAATTGCAATTACGAAGGACACAATTTGTAGGCAAAAATAAATGAAGCAAGAACAATTAAGACTCAAAAAAGTTGTCAATGACTTTTTTTCCTTCACTCCGATATTTCGTCGACCACCTGAAATGCAAAAGTGTTGGCTTATGGTAGTGAAGTGCTATTTTTTTCTCTTTGATATTTTGTCAATCACCTAGTATTCAAAAAAAAAAGAAAAAGGCAGGGGTTGCATGGTTTAATAACAAGGGTTATTAGTTTTATAAAATTTTTGTGTATATGTGTATTTTTTTCTCTTTGATATTTTGTCAATCACCTAGTATTCAAAAAAAAAAAAGGCAGGGGTTGCATGGTTTAATAACAAGGGTTATTAGTTTTATAAAATTTTCGTGTATATGTGTGGGTGTAGGTGTGAGTGTTCTATACAGATGTACACATAATACTTATACACACCTACAATAAAAGACAAAAAAAAATCCTTAAGAAACATTTAACTCAAATTGAATAAATCAGTAGATCATAGATATTTGTTAAATCCACAGATTCATTCTATTTTAAAAATGTCAAAATTAGATAAGTATAAATGTATAAGGTTTCCAATTTTTCACATGTTGATCCTATACTTAAACTAATCCAAGTAGACACACATTAATCAACTTTAAAACCAACACATGACATAAGATTTAAATAATCAAGGAGAACCACATTAACAAACTACAAAACCAATACATTTTAATTAGGATTGATGAATCTTAAAGGAAATGATCAAGCAACCAACCTGAATGTTAGGCGGGGACCAACAATACTACCATTGATGAATCTTAAAGGAAATGAGTCTTTGACCAAGACACCCATAGATGAACCATGATCAGCATACTGGACCTCGTAGTCACATTGCTCGTCAGGGGTTTCGCAAGGGTGGTTACCAGGCCAGTGAAGAGAACCATAGAGGGTATCCTTACATGTGACAACGTTTTGTTTGGCTTGTAAAGAGTGTGAGGGGCCTGCACACACAAACACAAAGAGGTTATGGACTATGGGCAATAGTTTTAGGGTGATTTTGCATGTATGGAAAAAAAATGAAGAATTGACAATTACTGGAGTGCATTTGGTACAAGGTGCATCACACTCAAGCCAGGTGAGGTCACTGCCAGTGTCCATATCAAGAAAGTAAGATTTGGATGGGTGGCCTATGTTAAGTGTCACTTGATAGTACCTGCATAAAGAAAAAACATTGAACAACCAACTTTATAACACAGGACACAAAATGGATTCCGCTCAAATACCATGAATTTCGATCATAACTGAAAAGGGAAGGAATATAAATAAAATTTGGAGATATTATAGAAAAAAGAAAATGTAAATGGTACTAAACATATTTATTATAGCAGTTAGAGCCTAAGTGGCAATTGACATACTAATGCAGAGTGCTATCAAAAAAAAAATGCGGGAAGATGTACTAAAGAGAGCAAATGATGATACATCAAAAGGCAGGATGCATACAGGATGGGCAACTGCCCTCTAAGGTTTGAAAATTCCCTTAAAATTACATTCCATTTGCTAAAGAACTACAATTGTAAATTTTACAATTGTCCCAATTTTTTTCACTTCACAATAGTTGTCCCAAATTCCCTTACAGTTGTTCCAATTGCTTATGCACCACACATATTATCTTGTGGGGCCCAAAAAATTAGCTTTTTCTTCTAATGTATAGTGCAGAAGCATTTGGAATATGCTTTGGGAAGCATAGCATTTCTCTTACTAAGAAATAGCACGACAGAATCAAGGTAATATGTATCCCTAATGCTTCTACATACGAACACACATCAACCCCCCAAAACACACACACACACACAGAAAGGCTCACAAAAACAATAGTTAGAAAAAGGTGCAGGCAAAAGGTGATCAGAGAATTAGAATGTTTGGTTTGAGGAAAAAATGAAATATTAAGTAGACCATTTACTCAAAAAATTTCAAAAGAAACACAAAAGGTTATTAAGATTCCCCAGGAATAGCTAGAAATCACGGTCACATAAAAAAGGCTAGAAGTCCCACATAAATAAATTTCAGGTAAAGGAAAGTCGACATAATCCAATATCATACCAAGAATCTTCCCCGTAAACAAACAAAAAATTCATAAAAACCCAAAATCTCCCAAGAAACCCACAATCGAAGAGAGCACGCAAACCGCATAACCATAGGCTAATCAAACACCAAAACAATACATGTATACAAATATACCCACAGATAAGAGAAGATCCATCAAGATCACATCTAGCAAATCTAAAGAAACCCCACAAATAAAATGACATATACCCTTTAGGATAGACATTCCCAGTGACAGGGAAGATCACAGAGGATCCAAATCGATCCTCGATGGCCGTTGATTTGGATTGCTTCTTGATCCTCTGAGGCGGATTGGAAGCAGAAGAACAGCTTTGTAGCGATCAGAGGCAAAAAGGGGTCAAAAAAGGCAAAGGTAGACGTCTACAAGTCCACTGGATTGTCTGAATAATTTTCTGTGGTGGTGGTGGTTGTTCTGGCACTAGTTGTAGTGGCTATGGATTTGGAATGGGAGAGTTGAAATTATAAGAGAGAGAGATGAAAAAAAAAAGTAAGATGTTAGACAGAGGAATGATGGGTGAGGGAGGGTGGGATGGATTGGGGGGAAATTCAAACTCATATGTTTTAACTTTCAGACGGTTGGATGTTAAAGCTGTCATGTTTTATATTATAGATTATAGATTCTACAGCAATGCAATCAAGAGAACTGATTAAAGAAAAATGTATGATGCAATACCAGAAAGCCTGAAAATTGATAAATTAAATTATAGGAGACAAAAGACCAAAAAACTATCGAAGGCAAAAAGAAATCTCTGTCTTTCTATATGGCAAAAAAAATATGTTCCGATTCTTTGCATAACCATATCAAAAAAAAATGTATGAAACGAAGACCATGATTACAACAGAATCATATTTAAGTTTAACAGAATTTGGTACCAAGTAAACAATTGAAATTTCATACACACCAACCACTATAGCTGCAACAATCTTTAACTGGGGAGGATTAACACCCTATTTCAAAACCATAAATTAACACCCAATTCAAAACCCTAGAGTAACATATTGGGTGTGCCATGATGTGTGTGTATGTGAAAGTGATTGGGTGCTCTAGCTGGGTGGGGGTGTGTTTGTGTTTGTTCGACTGTGTGTGTGACTGTGTGTGCGTGCGTGTGTAGAGAGGGAGGTGAGAAAGAGAGAGGGAGGGAGAGGGAGAGGGAGAAGAGCTTACCTGGGTCGGTGGGGTGGCCGATGAAGGGTGAGAGGGAATAGAGAGCTCGCAAAGACGAAGAAGAGAGACGTCGATGGTGGTGGTGTTGCTGACGAAGTGGCGCTGCTACTGCTGGTGTTACTGGGGTGTAACACAGAGAGAGAGAGAGGATTGCAGAGGAAGCAAAGGCAGAGGCAGACATGGCGTGAGAGAGGTCTGAAAAAGAAAAAAAAGAGACGTAGGGGGGCAGGCCGCATCTCTGACAGAGTGACTGAGGGTAACCTGCTTTTGAAAAAAAATGAGTAAAAAGAGTTGAATTCGGAGGGAAATGAAAGATTATTAATGACCGTCGGATGAAATGAATTGTGATCGTTCGATTGACTTGTTGAAGCCCGCTATGTTTTATATTATAGATAGTCAACTTGAAAACTCATCCGCTTATCAATTCTTGCTGTAATACTCACTCCTCATCCATATAAGAATAAGGAATTCCTCTTCCAACTCATCCTAGAATGGGCGTAATGGCAAAGAGCAAGAGGAATACAAAAGGAAAAATTTGTCCATTTAATAACAAATGGTAGGACCGAGTCCCACACAAGTGGTTGGAACCTTCCATAAGAGACTGAAATGTTGATGGTTAGAATTTCCTTCTCCTTTTCTCTCCCTTTTCTCTTTAGTGTAAAAATATCGTTGCCTATCAAAAAAAAACAAATGATTCAACCTAGTAGTAAGCAATCCGCTAAAAAACAACAAAAATTTTCAAGAAATTGTAATAGAGTCTCAATCAAATCACTACATCTAGATTCGCTAATTTGTTTCGATTGATGGTGTCACGTGTCTAACACGCCACTTTGGCCAGAGTGGAATATTTGTCTAACATTTTTTTTTTCGCTTTATCTGAAAATATTGAGACAGATAGATGAAAAGACTAACATATTTTAGAGAAACAGTTTGACAGTTTTTTTTACTAGGCAAATATTCTCTTATAGCCAAGTCACGTGAGACTGTCTTGTTAAAACAAATTAATAGATCTGGATGCTATTTTTGGACCCAATTGAAGCTATGTGCATAGTTTTTTAGGATGTAAATGGCAAAAACTCCCTTAATTTTAGCTGTCAAATTCAAGGCCCTCTTATTTTGGGTGAATTCTATTGTACCCCAGAGGGTTTGGCCCTATTGTACATTACCCTCATTGTCTATCTCTTCCCTATTCTTATTGTTTTGTTTCTCCAACTTTTTCTTTATCCGCCATCCACAGTTAACCAGCAGCAGCAGCAGCAGCAGCAGCATCCATTGCTGGCACTACCACAACAGGCACACACAGTGGCAAAAATGAATTTATGTATAGAAATTTCAAGTTATAAAATTAATATCTCCAACAAAAAGAGGCCTAACCAAAGGTTGTGGTAGACTTATATTTGGATGGATTAGGCCGAGTGAGAATGCCAATGTGAATATTAAATATTTACGGGGAAAAAAATATTCAACGTGTGAATGTTGTTTTCTTTTCTTTTTGCACAATTGCTTCTCAAAACACTCTATTTGGAAAGGGCATTTAGTAAGATTAGAGATTAATATATCTAAACAATTGTTCAATGCGATAATTGTGTACGCTTCAAATTTATGCACAATTACGGGTCTAAACAATGCTAAATTGGAAAGATTCTTAGTTAAAGAAAAAGTCGAACAAACTAGATCATATGTCAAAAACCATCCCTACACAAAAGTAGTAGGAAAGTGGGTACCCTACAAAAGAATGAGTGATCTCCAGTAAAGAGATTGGATATTCTTCCTTCAATCTAATTTCTTAACTCAGTTCACAGTTTCTGTTGGATTAACAAGTCTTATGTCTATATTAATAGCGTCTATTACTAATAGCGGGAATCACAATGAAGCTATTAATTAAAACAATGACTTCAGACTTCACCCATAATTTTTTTTTTTTTTTTCAAATTTCATAAGTCTATAGTATTGTCCAGACCAAGAATTCAAAACCATAAAATTAAACCTAGCAAAAAAAGTCCCAAGAATGTTTAAACCAACAAAAAAATATTAGTTAATGATATGGCCCCAAAATTCAACCTATAAGCTCACCAATCAAATTTGGTCAAGGGAACAAAAAAAAAGGCTTAGACAATAAAAAAGGTGTTGAATTGATCAGATGCAAATCTCTCTTCCCCCATATCTGATGAAAAAGTGGAGAATAATGTTACATAGACTTAAAAAATAGACTTAAAAATTAGACTTGATAATCTCAACCATTGATTTCACTATGAATCGCAGCATTTATTGGAACCCACTATCTATTTAATAATTGAGATTATTAAGTCTAATTTTTAAATTCATCTATCATTACTCAAAAGTGGAATAAACATCAATAGCTACTCTCTCTCTCTCCCCGGTTCAAAAGTGCAATTCAAACGCACCCTGACTTCTTTTAACCATTTTGTTCTCGTCTAAAAATAAAACATCAATGAAACTATTGATTCTCTTGTCAAATTTGATGAATTTGAGTTAAAATTCAAGCAGTTACCAGCAAGATTGGAAAGTAAACCAAGGTCTATTAAGTCGAGCGCTATCACTCTCTTTATCAACATAGTTCAGCCACTTCATCCCCATGCTCTCACTCTCTCTTTCTCTTTCGAAAAACAAAATTTTTTAGTTTGTGGCTCTAAAAAAGTTGGTCACCATAGCAAAATTGTTTTAACTTTAGCTCAAGTTCTCTCTCTTCTCTGATAAGTATCTCTTTTTTAATTTTAACTTTTAGCTTTAAGTATCTCTCTCTTTTAACTTTAGCTCAAGTTCTCTCTCTCTCTCACATACACGTGGGTGTCTTTGAACTTGTTCACACATGCACGGGGCCCATCGAAGGCAAGGAATAATATGAACTACCCTTTTATAAGCACACCCTCATCTCTTCCATTTGAGAAACACAACACTCAGAGAGAGAGAGAGAGATGGCAGATAAGGTTTTGAACACAGAGAAGAGTGCTGTCAAAGACAAGGCCAAATCGGAGATGATGGAGAGCATGGAAGTGAACCCACAAGAAAAAGAAGAGGTTGAAGCCAACACCTGGCCTGGTCTTAAACCCAAGCCTTGGAGCGTAATTCCGGCGAAGAAAAAACTGGTGAAGACGATGATGGTCGAATACATAGGCCAATCTGTAGTATCCGCATTCAAAAACAGCAAGAACAAGCAGAAAATCACTCCTGGTAATGCCGGGTCTACCAATATGTAGTACTTTGATAACCTACACTATGCACACACACACACACACACACTCACTCTCTCACAAATGATAAGTGATGGGTGCGTATTGAACTATATATACTTACATGTAACCTATGGATGATAAATGAAGTTTCCTTATGTTTTTGTGTATACTGTATGTGTATGGAGAGCACCTATACATGAATTAGTTCCAAGAAAGCACCCCTCTCTAGCTACCTACATGAAGCTCTTTGCCCATGTATAAATTAAGATTGTTTTGACATAAAAAAAACAACAGTAATTTAATTCATATTAATATAATATGACCATTTTAATCAGCTCTTAAAAAGGAACTTTTACAGTACCTAATCCTTCTCTGGAAATGAATGTTTCAGAGCGGAGCCTGGAATTTTTTGCTGTGGAGGCAAATTAAAATTTAGTAAGAACATAAAACGGTAATATTAATAGTATTTGGTCTAATATTAATTTTTTATGAACAAATTTATCGACTACTCATTCAACAATTGATTTGTTTAGCTCGACTCAAACTCAATATTTCAACACTTATTTTTTAACAAACTTCAGATTCCAAAAAAAAAGTTTTTAACGAGAAAAAATTTATAAAGACCATAAATATTCAAAATAATTATGACAAATTTTAATAAAAAAAAATTGAATCTTTCACACGCCTATTTGTGTTGAGCATCGATCACAACCTATGGGTGGTTGGTTTGATTGTGATAAAAAAAAAGAAAAGAAAAGGCTTTTAGTGTAGGGGAAAAATAATAAAAAGGTTGAATTAGTGTTAAGACACCTAACATGATTAATTACATGGGTTATTTTAGAATTGATTAATATTTGACATGAACTCAAAGTTCCACCACATAACTCGGATACCAGCTCTAGTTGCAAAAGAAAGAGGAAATTGGAGATTAAAGAAAGAATTGTATGAAAAGTTCCCGTCTAATTGTTAAATTTATAATAGAGTACAAGTTATCTTTCAACATGGAAACCTACAATAATTTTTTTACAAACTTTTTAATAGGGGCAAATTCTAAATGATGCTAAAATTTTCAAAATTTCAATTAGACCTCAAGATTTTTTAAAATTGCAATGGGGGCAGTTTCCCCCACTGCTCCATGCTAGATTCGCAACTGCCCCGGTGCTATATTCGCCCTTGGTTTCAAAAATGATGCTGCACAAAAAAGAGAGTTCAATCCGTTGAAGGTCCTAAATTAGTGAAGTACCACAAAGGTTCCAAGCTTAGAATCTGCCGCAAGGCATCTTTTGACTCGATACCAATTCATAATACATATAAATTCAAAGTCTTGCACGATTCGACCGAGTCATAGTACACATCTCTCAATCCATTTTTGTCAAACTTGAGTCATCGAGTTATAATCATTGAATCGACAGATACCATCTTATGATGCTTCAAAATGACTTAAATTTCTTATCATGTTTTATTTTTTTTTGTTAGGTCGTGTCACAAGATATAGTTCCGAGGCGTCGGGATTAATGTGTTTTAGAACTCTTTGAATCGGCTATTTGGTAACGTTTAAACATCAATAACTTGTGACAGATTGGAGTGAATTATGAATCTATAATATACAATAGGGCAACTTCAACATCCAACGCTCACAAATCATTTCATCCAACGGTTTTAAATCCTCTCATTTCCCCCCAAATTTATCAGTTTTCACCTATAATTATTTTCAAAATTTTGATCAACTCAATCATTTTATCTGTCAATGGCCTCAGCCACTTTTTTTTTCTCGGTACAACTGAAAAAGGGGCCTTGGACATCGTTTTTTTCCCAACCCTTATGTTAGAAAAGCCTTCTTCAGAGGCCAAATCTCACTATCTCTCTCTCTCTATCTTTATCTCTCTTCTTACTAGTAACACCATCACCACCGCTGAAGTCAGTAACACAACCACCACCACCACCACCGCCCCAAGCCTTCTTCAGAGGCCATCTTACTCTCTGTCTCTATCTTTATCTTTCTCCCTTTGTTTCTTCTTACCACCACAGCTGTCGAAGTCAGCAACACCACCACCGCCCTAGGTACGCCTCATCTCTCTCTCTTTCTCTCTCACACACACACACCCATCTTACCCGCGCCTCTTCTCTGCTCTCTTCTACACACTCATCACCCACACACAAACCGCACACACACACACAAACAAACCGAGACCCATCACACACACGCCCAACACAAACCCACCACACACGCCCCCACACCCAAAAGGGAACAAGTTGGATGATTTGATGTTGAAGAGAGACTGAGATTCACCCATGATTTACTTTGGTTATTTCAAAATACATATAGAGAGACTTCAAATGTCACGTTTAATTCAGAGTAATTTGTTTAGAGGATTAAAGTAAGTATAATTTTTTTATTCAAATTTCTTTTTCTTTTTCTTTGTGCAGCATTCTATTGATTTTTTAGATCCCACGGAGAATGATAGTGTAGAGGGTTTGAGACCAAATTCTATTGGAAGCTTTTAACACCAGAATTTTTTTTCATAGTCTCCTCCTTGCTTTTCTTGAGTGATTAATGACTGCCTATGATTGAGGCCCATTGTTGTTCACCCTATTTCCTTTTTTTCCTGTTCGTTCTCCATTGTTGTTCATTGGTGGTGAATGAATGGATATATGCATACTAATAGTGAGAAGGTTCAAGGTGGTATTCCATCCATCATTGGTTTGTTAATTTGACACTGTTGAAGCAAAGAACAACCTTATAGTCATAAGCCTTGACGATTTTGGTATTTGGAAGTTGCTGCAAATACTGAGAGAGAACTAAAGGTTATCACAAAAGGTTATTTTGACATAATTCTCCAGTGATCCTCTTCATAGTATTTGTTGAGAAAGCACAAAAAGTTATTCAGCCATGTATTTATTTGCATTTGTTTGGTTGCCGTTTTTGACATTTTTGTTTTGTCTATCCTTTTTGTTCATTTACCAAATGGATGTTGTCAGTTAAAGGTGTTAGGATTGCTTCTGGCTTTTTTTGGCCTATTTGCAATCATTGTAGTTTCAGGTACTGCTTTGATAATTAGGAACTTATCATTTGAGCTCCAATCTGTGAACTCAGTTAGAAAGGTATATAACTCTCTCTCTCTCTCTCTCGATCACATTTATGTATGTAAATTGTAAAGGATGTTATTTTTGTTTGACAATGCAGTTTGTTTGACAATGTGAACCAGTACACACACAACAACCGGTGTTCATAGTTGTTTTTGTTTCTCTGTATATTTTTTTGGTTGATACATGTAGTGGTGGTGTTCATAGTTATATTTGTTCTGTGGTGGTACATACATCATAATGGTGAGTATGCAGTTATATTTGTGGTCTTCTTGGTATTTCTTGGTCTCTCTCCTCTCTTGGTGAATTTGGCTTGGTTACGATGTATGTACTTACTGTTTATGGACTAATTCATATACATTCACAACTTTTTTGCATATTCAAGAGGCTTGGCTATTTATGGACTGATTCGAACATTTCTGTTTTTGTTTTTCTTCTATGAAATGAAATGTTACGTTTTGAGATCATGTAGTCTTTAGTAGTGATGTTCTGTTTTGATTTGGATTGAATTTGGTTGATATTTTTTTTTGGGAGAATATGTAGAGTTATACATGATTTAACTGCAATGCTTCACTGTAGTAATCATAATAAAAACTACATGTCCACAATTTGGAACCCTTCAAAACTTCATATTATTCACCACAACTTCCTATTTGCGCTTCCTTATGTTTCAATCAAGACCCTTATCAACCACACTAGTCCTAACCCACCAACATATGGTCCATTCCAAACTCTCCAGTCTCACTCACACTCAATCCACCTACAGGACTTTGATATGCAAAGTATGTAGTTTAAAAATTCTTGACTGTCAAAGAACTGCTCGATGAAATGCCCAGCTCGATTGGCTCACCCCCATACGATGACATTTTTGTCCATATTGTCTTTGTGGTCTCAGTCGGGCTCATATGCTTGATGTTCTCATTAAGGAATATATTTTCTTAGAAAATATTATCGGGAAAAGGTGAAGGAAAGAGTGTTTGAGGTTATGTATTTTTATGGGATTTTATAAAAGGACTTTGCTTGACTAATATAATTGCTTATGGTCGTAAAATTTTCTCTCAAAGTTTGACATCATTACTTTGGACACCCCAAACTAAACTTGAAAAATTACTCCATGTCATAGTACTCAGATATACAAATTGCAGTTTAACATCTGGGAATATTACGGCTTAAAGACAGAAAATAAGAGACAATCAAATAGTGCATCAGAACTTTCCCTGTTACCTTATCTCTCTCTCTCTCACACACACACTTCGCACAACCTCACTCATAGATTCGAAGCAACAAACCTACCCCCTATAAGTTTGTAATGTATTCCACAATTTTTGCTGAATTGATGGTCTTTTTTGAAGCTTGCTCACTCACTGGTTTGGCTTCTCAGAATAAGTTTAACTGTTGGCATCTTCTTTAAAGGGGCGTAATATCCATGACAGTTGCTGTCAGTTGGGCGTTCAGTTTTCAAAGTATGTTCCAAACCTTTTCTTCTTTAATTTTTCTGGTGTTGTTTGGATGCGCATTTATTTTTCCTGTTCTATTGTACGCCGCTAGAATAGTACTTAAATCATTAATTTTTGTGATCCAGCCTTGATGAATTAATTACAAGTGAACTACAATAATGAGAGGTCAAGGTGGGGTGATATCTTCATCATTTCTTACTTCACAAATTGCTGTTAATGTTTCTTTGTGCGTTCATTTAAATACTTTATCATTGACAATTCTGCCGTATTTGTCCTCCTCTTTTGCACAGGGATTTCACAAACCCGTCTCTGCCTTCAGAACAGAAGGGCATTTCCTCACAAGTATGTTTTGGTCTCTATTAAAATCGTTAAAGTGTTTTCATGTTTGATTTTCCATTTTGCCTTCTGACATAAAATTTCCACTGTATATTAGCCATACGGAGATTTGTATGCCCTTTAAGCTTCTGGAGCCAGAGCAAGTGCTTGATCCAACAGTTACATAATTATTTGGACTTCTTTTTTTTTTTTTTTTTCACTTTGTTGGGCTATCTGTTTTTTGACTTTTGGCTCTTTTTTTGGTTTTCAGTTGGATTTCAATAGGTGGGTATGGCTTGGGTCATGTTGTAGGCGACATCTGACATCTTTTGTTCAGAGTTATGATATTCATCTAATAAAGATATATTGTTAGCATTATAATCAAGTGATCAGTAGCTACACCATTGAGCGTTGGAATGAGATAGTAATTGCTACACCATTCATCTGTTATTTATTGGTTTAATTTTTTAGAAATAGTTTTTTGATTTAATGGTTAATTATATTTTTAGAGGATACTTGGTCAAAAATTTGACAGAGTATCTACATTTTGACTATTTTTATTTTCACTAGAGTCGTGACATTAAAAATGATCAAACGATTTTTGGCTTAATATATGTTTATATTCATTGTTTAATTATTTCGTGTTTAAGAACTATGTACACTGTATAGGGCGATATAAGACGAGTTTAGGCTTTCAGTTTAGTACGTATCCGAATTCAGTGCTTGATTATTTCGCGTTCAAATTCAATGTTCGATTTTTTTTAATTGTATCATGCTTTCAAGCACGGATTATTCCTAGTATGTTATATTATCGCTGTACCTTGTTGAACAATAATCCAGCTGCAAAATCATAAGGCAAGAGATGCAGATGTAAGAACATCAATACATCTTCAGCTCTCTTCGTCTCCACTTCTTAACATGTATCGGAGCTCTTCAACTTTAATTTCTTTTTCTTCAATAAAGAGAATTATATGAAAGATAAGAGTTTTAGAATTGTAAAAAGAATGAAAGTTCAATTAGAACCATCGGATCAATAAGATTTGAGCTGTGAAAATTTTTTTTTTGATCAAGAGAGCCGTGAAAAATTCAAGACAAACAATTTAACTACTATATATATATATATATATATATATATATATATATATATATATATATATATACATATACTACTTATTGTTTGTGCCTGAAAGTATAGAGTAATAAAAAATGGTAAACAATAAACATATTTGTATTCATATCTAAAATTAAATAACAAAACATAGAGCAGAGGTAAAGAAATTTAAACATCGGTTTGTAATGGGGGTGAGAGGTGGTGGGCGGCAGTGGTGGTGGTAGAAGGCCGTGATGGTTATGGTAGATGACAATAATCGTGGTGGTGAGGACGACGACGATGATGGTTGTGGTGGCGACAGCGACGATGGGGGTGGGGGTGGCGGCGGCGGTGGTGGCGGTGGTGTTGTAGGTGGCGGTGGAAGAGGTAGCGGTGGGGTAGTTTTAAACGCTATTTTTTTTAAAAAAAAATATTTATGAGAAATAATTTCTAAAAGTAAAAAATCACTTCAAACACACTTTTAGGGTCCTATTTTTTCTATTAAATTTAAAGTGTTAATATTAGTCGTTAGATTAACTTTAAAATAAAATATAAAACGAACTCAACTACGAATAACAAAAGTCATTTTGTTTATTTTTTAAGATTTAAATTGTAAACTATTTTATTATATACTAGTTATTGTCTGTGCCTGAAGACACAGAATAATAAAAAATAGTAAACAATAAACATATTTGTATTTATATCCAAAATCAAATCACAAATATAAATAAGAGATAAAAGAATTTAAACATCGATTTGTAGTAGGGGTAAGAGGTGGTGGGCGGCAGTGGTGGTGGTTGTGGTGGGTGACAATGACTGTGGGGGTGGCAACGACGGTGATGGCGGGGGCGTGGGCGATGGTGGTGGTGGTAGTGGCGGTGGTGGTGGCGATGGCGGGGGTGGGGGCGGTGACGGTAGTGGCAGCGGTGGTGGTGAGGTTTTAAAAACTATTTTTTTTTTAAATATTTATGAGAAATAATTTTTAGAAGTACTTTTAAAAAATCACTCCAAACACACCCTTATAAACTTATTTTTCCTATTGAATTTAGGGTGTTAATATTAGCCGTTAGATTAATTTTAAAATAAAATTTAAAACGATCTCAACTACGAATAGTAAAAATTATTTTGTTTATCTTTTGAAATTTGAATTATAAACTTCTTTATTATATAAATATAATCCTTTTTATAAGTAAGCCTTGTCACTTTTATGAAAAGGAAAACCAGCCACTTTGAGACTAAATGGATGTCTTACACATTATGACATAGTTCAAAGTTACAATATAGCCATTAATTGGGAAAGGATATAAAAGAATACGCAAAAAAGGTTGCACATTTGTTTTTGGTGAGGTCAAAAAGAATAAGTTGAATATGGTAAATTGAGATCATAATGTTGTAGTACAAAATAATATTGGTCACCTATGTTAATTTTAAACAGTTTGGACAAGTTATTTGAAAATTTTGATTCACACGAAATATGAAGTAATATTGAATTAAAATATTCATAATCAAATATATTTTTGGTTAAATTGGATCAACATTGACCAATAATTTAAATCATTCATATTGGTGATTATAGGTTAGATTAACAAAAAACCATTACATGCAACTTTACTTCTATGCATAGTTTATGCTCACCCTCTTCTCCACAATACAACATCAACCTATAGCCCTTTTTTGCCAAGGTCAGTCCATTCGCCGGAAAAGTTGGCCGGACACGGCATCAACTTCCGCCTTATTTCCGTTAAGACAACAAATCCATGGTTTAATTAGGAGTCTAATGCTGACGTGTACTTACCCAAAAATGTTGACGCATAATACTGAAATATGACATCATAATTACGTCTTGAAGTTGCATGTATGTCTAATAAATGGACCACGAAAACAAATCTGTTGTGGATTGAACATATATCTTAAAGCTGTGGCTTAATTAATAGCAATTTGACCCCTAAAAATTTAGAAAATTTCAGTTTGCCCAAACTTAAAGCTGTCTCAAAATTTTACTAATAAAGTTATTGAATGCTATATACACACTACAAGAAAATTTCCATTACTAATAAAAACATTGGGCGCCAAAAGGATTTTTCCATTTTTTTTTTATCATGTCCAGCACTTCAGAGTCAAAAGGTTCCAATCATCACAGTCAAGTCTCTTTTCTTTCTTTTATTTTTTCAACATGTAATTATGGGAATCCAAATGGGCTTTGTTTGAAAAATTAATGGCATAATTGAGAAAAGTTCCTCTTTTCTTCTCATCTTTCTGTGTATTCCAAACTTACAGGGCAAGTAAAATTATGAGCCTTGTGATGTGATTATTTCGTCTCGAAAATAGCTAAAGTGATCTTCCAAACCAGTCAAGTTTAAGGAAGAGAGAGAGAGAGAGAGAGAGAGAGAGAGAGAGAGAGAGAGAGAGAGAGAGAGAGAGAGAGTCCTGCTAAGACCTGAGACTGTCATAGGATTCATTTTTGTGGATTATTAAGGCCAGAGATGTAGTGGCATACGACTTTATTTTTTGGTTTAATAATTAAGAGTGTTTAGATCAATTTATTTATATTTTAATTAATTTTTTTTTCAATTTGGTTAAAGATAGACGATTTTCGTTGAAATTATAGAATTCATGAGTGATAAATTTCTTGTAGTCTTATTCTGAAAAATTGTTCTCTCTATTAGCCACAGACTTTGGCTAACTGTATGCTACCTCGACTCCGACTCTCTCTATTAGGACATGTTTGCCTTGAGGAATGATGGATGGGATTGGAGTATTATTTTTAACCCTCTCCAACCCCATAGGCATGGAAGATATAATTTAATACTTTTTTTGATCTTATATCACTTGTGAATTTTGTTGACCTAATTTATTGATATAATTTTATCGAAATTATTGGATCAACACCAAATTTCAATATTTGATAAGATCTATAATGAATCCAAATGTCACAGTGAATTAGATCAATAAATTAAGTTCTAATAACATTGCTCTTTTATAATAAATGTGAGTCTCACGTAAAAATGATGATTGCATTTGATAATTGACTTATCTCCCTCTATTTTAGATTGTTAGACACTTGAAAGACTAATATTGTAATTTATTATTCCTGTGGTACCCACAACAAAAATAAAGATTCTCCTTTATGTCTATTGACTTTAATACCCTTGTCTTGATGTTGAACATTATATATTAGGAGGGTCAGATTACGTGCACACTTTGAGAAATTTTGAAAATAAATAAAAAAAACATAATTGAGGGAAGAAAACCCGCCTTGGGGGGGGGGGGGGGGGAACTTCCGATAGTTCAATTCGAAAAAAACCTATCTCCAAAACTTCTCAAGAAAGTTTAATATAATATTACCTTCGTTCTTAAATATCTGTCGTTTTACACAATTGTTTTTTTTCCATAATATATTTCGTTTAATGAAAGCAAAACATAATTAATATTTTTTCTTCTAAATTTACCCTTAACTTTTCAATGTATTAGATTAGGTGGAGGTTAAATGTCTTTCATATTCCTTTCCTTTCCAATACGTATTGAATAAGAGTATTTTAGTCTTGTGCAATTATTTTTTACTCATATTAGAGCTATTTAATAATTTCCTTAATCTTTGTGAAAAAATCTTAAACGATATATATTTAGGAACGGAGGGAGTACTCATCATACCCTTTCCATTAATAAAAAAACCTTTAAATACAAGTCAATAACAACTACTTTAATAACAAACCAAACTCATGGCTCCACTATTTTAATAACTACCTAGAAAACT